CTGTTCGCCACTGATGTTACACCTAAACTCAGGACCAAAGCCTGTGTTGCCTTGATGAGTAGCTATTGATTATTAATAATGTTATTATAATTCTCCCAACCAACACTGTTATTTCACCCTTTTTAATTTCGTTGAGGTTATGCTCCCACATCGTTAGCTAGTTTGGATCGCTATAACTTGAATGACTGTCAACTGCTGAATGAACGAGTGTCAAGCATGTCAAGTCGCGCTTTGTTTGCTTCGAACCGGAAGACGCGCCCACTTTTGACGCAAGGCCTCATGGGGCGTAAGAAACTTGTGGATAGCCTACTAATTTAATTTTAAAGCACATGCAGCCACCAAAAAATATATTATAAGATATTGTTCTGAGGTTAAATACAGATATCTGAATGAAATTATTTTTACATTTCCAGCTCTGGAACTTCCTGGAAGGAACGCATTGTCACTCGCCATGGCTGCAAATTTAAACAAGAGTCAGAGTAACAAAACGGCCTTTAAATCTCAGGCATCGTGCAGACGTGCACATCAAAAACAGGCAAAGCAACACACATTATTCAACATATCCTATTCAACATATACTATTCAGAAACCTTTGTAATCGTTAACATTTTCATAAGTAACTAGGTAACTGTGATTTAATTACACATTTTTTTCTCAGTAACTGTAACGGGGTAGTTACTTTTATTTTCTATTTAAATTACTTAGCACTGTTACATGTAGGCGAATTACTCCCCAACACTGGTGATGAGGCAGTTCCCTAAAATTCAAGATATCAGGACAAAAATGACCCTGTATAAGATTGTGTCTCATATTTATATAATAGACCTTAAGCAATTTAACAAAACATGAGCGGAATGAGTACAAGTGTGATATTGATTTTATAGAGCAGTTAAAAATTGTGTTATATCTTAGACATAATATTGTTTGATTTTGCTCATTTTTAGCCAGAGCAGAACCAATTTGCCACTCTTAGCCACACGATCAACACACAGCAGTGTTTTGTTACTGAATGATTCTGTGTCTTGAGCGAATCAATCGGGTGGCTGTGAACCAATGATTAATGACCATTTCATAAAGAGGTATTTAGGCTACTTCATTCCAGAATGAATCAGCTGTTTTAACCAATGAACGAATCAAATTAATGAATTCACCACTCAAAGGTTGTGTCTGAAATCGCCCCCATATCCTTAAATAGTGCACTATTTGAGTAGACAGCCATTTGTAGTGGTGTCCAAAACCATAGACATTATCGAGTGCAGTCGTTCAATCCCACAATGCATAACGAGTGTACGTTACAAACAAACTGATGTTTGCTCAACGGCAAGAGGCAGCAACCTCACAGTAACACACTAAAATCTCCTGGAGCACCCTTGCAACCTTATAGCAACACACTAGACAAACCCTGCAATCAGAACTCCATATATCAACCCAGAACACGTTATCAACCTCATTGTTTGTGAAATAAAAAACACCCCAGCAACCATCCTAAGTCCCGCCCCTCTGCTTCCGGCTCATGGGACCTTATTTCGGAAAAAATATGAATGGCGAGAGACAACTTATCTTTTTATTCCGTCTGAACTGTGCCCTCAATTACACATATGATGTTTGTCAATTTAAAAGATAATTCTGAAAGTCAAAAACGTCGCAGTTTGTCAGAAAACATAAGAGTAACATATAGTTTTATGTGAAAATCGCTCTATGAACTACATCTCCCGGGAAGCGAAAGTGAGGTCCGCTGCTCGTGTGTCTGGATTATAACGTAAGACTATAGAAACAATGACAGACAATAGCCTCACTCAGTAAAGTTAGCTTCATTCATTGAGAGAAAATGTACGCCTTTGGGGTTTGTAGTCTTTGTAAATACGTATTTTCACAGTCTTATACCTCAACGGTTTTACATCAAACTGCGACTTCCTTTACTTTAAAATGTATATTTTAAATTGACAAACATCATATGTGTAATTCAGGGCATAATTCAAACGAGATCAAAATATTTGTTGTCTCTCGCCATTGACTACCATTCAATATTTTTCCGAAATAAGGTCCCATGGTGGTCGACCGGAAGGGGAAGGACTTTCATAGCAACAAACAAAAAAAACAAAACAAAACCAAAACAACCTTGCATCCACCCAGAGCACATTATCAGCCTAAACGCAACAAAACCCAGAACTCTGCATCTGCCTAGCAATAGCCATTTGCCATTCAATGCAGAAATCATTAAGAAGTCTTTCAGCATGATTAGAAGATGTGCTCCTGTGGAACATCTGTCTTTTTACCTGCACCAGGTGCATTGAATATCATGTGACGCCTTCATCAAGTCCTCTGTTAAAATATGCATGACCCCGTAACCCCTCTGCCACCACTCAGCTCTGTTCTATTAGATAATATAAGTGCATGTATGAAGTGGTATACACTAATGACATCATGCAAACATTATTCAAGTGGGTCTAAATAAACAAACATGACGCATTCATTCATTCCTCTCAGTAATGAGCTTTACTGAGGAAGACTGAAGGACTTTTGGAGCTGCAGGTCTATTGTCTGCTGAGGGTGTAACATTTACAGCACCTGCTGTTACTAATAAGGTCCGGAACCTGGATTCTCGCACTGACATAAATTATTATCATATGATTATTAAATCAGGCCACACTACCAGAAAAAAAAAGCAAAATATATTACAGCAGCGTTCTCATCCAAAGGCTTCAAATACTGACGCTTTTGACATTTCGTCTACATCCAACGCACATGATGGCACCCTTTAGCGTCAATATGAGACACAAATATATATGGGTTCTGAAGGCGCCTCCTAGAGGTCTAAGCCTAACCCTACCCTAGAACTAAACCTACCCAAAACCGAACAAAGCTCTGTGCGGGTTATATTGATTCTAAAGGGTGCCATGTGCGTTAGATTTAGATGAAATTTCAAAAGTGTCACTATATGACGCCTGTAAGACTGGAACTGGTTGATGGAATCAATCTGACCAGTGTCCTCTGAAGACAATGCTGATTTGGTGTTCAACAAACATTCATTTTCAGTATTGAAAATGGTTGTGCTGCTTTACATTTTTGTGGAAACTGTGATACATTTTTTTTTTTTGGATTCTTTGATAAACTCATCAAAATAACATTTATTTGAAAGAGTATTTGTATTTATTTGTAAAAGTATTTGGTTACAGTGTTGATCAATTTAATGTGTTTTTGCTCAATTATCAATTCATTTTCTTAAAACTTATTGGCCCCAAACCGTGGAATTAAACTAAACACTTTTAATACTTGTATCATGTTCTGGTAGTTGAGCTACAGGAACTTTTTACCATTTTAAACATCACTTATATGGTATTAGATGTATTTTTTTTTTTTTTTTGGTGTTGTTTTTTTATGACCGGAAGGGTTACATGTACTTTTTCTGGAATCACAAAGATTGCACAAAACTGGCAAGTATATTAGGCCTATATTGTCGAATTTGTGAGAACTGACTAATACACAGAAATATACACTAAATTACATTGTAAAAAATAAAAAAAAATTAATTTCATATGCTATTTTCACTTAACTTAGTACTAAGTACAGTTTACTTAATTCTATGTGTGAAATTAACTCAAAAATTGTCAGTGCAAAAACTTGCCTTGAAAAAATTAAGTAAACTTTACTCATTGTTTTTCAGTGTACAATGTACTATATTGCGTTCCATTCGACCGTAAGTAGACTGCGAAGTAGACTTCACAGGGTATTTCGCCATCTTAAGTGAGATTCCAATTCGAAGGGAACGAACATGTTCAGTTCGAAGGGCACTGCAAACGGCATAGGGAATAAGGGAACATCGATACATCACTTCACAGGAAGTTACTGAAGTCCACTTCAACTGAAATACCGTGTTCAGGGAGTAGGGAGCTGCGAACACTGCGTAGGGACCCTGTCGAATGGAACGCACCTAAATTTACAGTAGGCTAATATTTTCCCAGAATGCATTGAAAATCTACAGAAATGTACACATACACTATGAAACTGTTAAGAATACAATGCTGTGAAAAGGACAAAATCTGCAGTAACATTCAGTGTGTCAAAAGTAAAAAGAAGGGTAGGGTCTTGCTCTGTCAGTTGAATCTGTTTCCCATAATTGTTTGCTACAAGTGAACCTGTGAAACCACAATCCAGCAACATGTAGACACCTGCTTCCTCTTTCTCTCTTAAAACCAGGTCATGCGTGGTTTAAAAAAATCAAGAAACATCTCAGGTGTGAATCATAACAGATGCAGGGTCCATAAGAAGAGTTTCTGTCATTAACAGATAATGTTTTTAATCACATCCTCTGTATTTAAAAGCACAATACAAGATATTGTATTATTAAATACTACAATTATACAAATACATTAAGGTTTGTCATTTTAGAAGTATGATTTGGGTGGGTTTTATTATGTTAAGTGATAATCTGCACACACTAAATCTTAATCGGGTTGGATTATAGGCCTATTGTGTGACCTCACTGTCCATGTTTAAGATTAGATAGAAGACAGACATTTCTTCACATTTCAGGCAATACTGTGTGTGTGCATGCTTAATCACTATCATGATAAGTTTAGTTCATCATAACACCTGAAGGCATTTCAGTGTTGTCTCGTTTGTTTGGTGACATTAGAGTGTTACATTTCTTCAGTCTGTGCAAATGAACAGTTGCGTTTTAAAGCAAATAACTCACAATTACATTCTAGAAAACAAAAAAAAAGCTTTAAAAAAGGGGACAATCCATAATAACATTGTGTTTGAATGTGTTTCTGTTTCTGTTTTACAATTATACACACACACACACCACACACACACACACACACACACACACACACACACACACACACATTTAAATCAACATGAAATATGTCTATGTAGAACGAGGACTTGAACTGTACACTGAATTCGACGCGACGCTTGAACAAATTCGTTGATTGGTCGACTGGCTGCCGACGTCACATTCTATTCGAAACCTTGAAAAACGCGACGCGCTGGTTTGCAGCTAGATGCTGGGTGTCATCATCACACACGCGCATATCAGGTTTCACTGGACATAGTCTCTCGCGCAGGCCTACAGTAACGACAATGGCGACTGGAAAAATCACACACATCTACTGCTTCCTCTGAATATCTCCGCTAAAATGCGATGCTCGAGCTGTGGCGGTGGAAACATGAGTAATAACATCTTGTGAGTTGGCTAATATTAGTCTTTGCGCGTCACGGCAGCTTTAATAATAACGGATTGAAGATGGCGGAGTTTTCTCCGGTGCTGCCTCCGTTGAGGGATGAAGGAGGAGGCGGACGGTACGGACAGCCGCTGTTCCCCAGATCCCTGTCCGGTTCGGAGTCGGACAGTGAATTGTCGCAGAGTTTGGCCCGCACAAAGACGCGCTCCTACGGCAGCACCGCGAGCGTCACGGCGCCTTTAGGAGAAACATACATAGAGCACCGGGTAACGGACGGGACACACTGCAGGGTATAGCCCTTAAATATGGTGTTACGGTGAGTCTCGCATCAATAAAGTCACACACATTTGCAAGAAACCATTTCCTAGCCATCATCTCCATACATATTCAATGTTGTTTTGCATCCTTTTGGAGCATCATGCACAACATGGAGTGTGTCCCAAAACTAGTGTGCTTGCTATCTAGACAACATTTTTGAGACGGCATCGTGGGCCCATGCCGTTACCTATATAATATACTTATACGAGTGAGCTCCCTGCGTAGGCAACGTAGTTTTTTGTTTGTTTGTTTGTTTTTCTTTTTACCATCACAATAGAGTAGTTTGAGCGTACGTTAACGTTATCCAGCTAACAATAAAATCGAAGAAAATGTATGTGAACGTCCACGTTCAAAACGTCTTTTTTTTTAATGCATTTAAGTTACTTCTTGGTTAGGGTTAGGCTATACGGGAAAATACCATTATGGAAACGTAACGTTACTTTTGAATGTTCTCTGAACCGTCTGCAACAAGTATTAACAATTAAACAACATTAGAAACTCGTCCAACTAAACTTTCCATGAATGATGCAAGTTATAAATGTTTTTGTGCTGGCGTTTTCATAAAATTTAAAGACCAGATTCCTTTATAACAAATCTTCTACAGTAAGTTCCCCTTGAATTTTTTTTTTTCCCACAACTTCGAGGTAAGCCAAAAGTTTCCTAAAGCTGTCATGCTGTTGCATAGACTGTGGCTGAATCTGAAATCGCCCTCTTAACCCTCAATCACTAGTCCCTATATTAGGCAACTAATACAGTTCACTTGAAGGAGTGAATGAAAAGGAATGAGTGAGTTCGGATCTTCTTCTTCTTCTTCTTCTTTCGTTTTTTGGCGCGTTGCAATCTTAGTGCAAATCGCCACCTACCTTTGCTGTTATGCAGTCACGATTTCTTATGATCAGATTTTCCTTATTTTATTATTTCTTTACTTCTTCCTCAAATATCCATCCTTATTTAATCATTTGATGCTTCATCTCATTCCATTTCCCATAGCCCACCTGTCGCTGCGTGTTCAGATCCTACAGACAGGACTATAAAATCTGGATTAGATCAAAGCATCCTTATCCTATATTTAAATCCTTTCACTTAATCCAGTACTATATATATATTCTATTAGTATTCTATATCCTACTCTATCTTTATTAAACTCATAACCCAACAAATATGCCAAATCCTTATTAACTTTCCCTCTTCCATTTAAATAGGTTATCAAATCCTTTCTTTCCTCTTCATACCTTTTACAATCATATAACACATGCTCCACTGTTTCTTTCTCCCCACAATTCTCACATAAACCAGTCTCATGAGCTCCAATTATAAATAGTGTTGCGTTCAATCTTGAGTGACCAAGTCTCATCCTAGTCAATATGACTTCTTCTTTTCTATTTCTACCATTTATACTTTTCTTAGATTCTACCATTTTTTAATATTATATAAATACCGCCCTTTATTATCTGTATTCCAGTTTTCCTGCCACTCTTTGATAATATTTTCCTTAATAATAGTTTTAACTTCACTTTTACTTAATGGAATTTTAAAATCTATTTCTTCCCTTTTTAAAGCATTTTTTGCTAATTCATCAGCAAATTCATTACCAGCTACTCCTACATGCGCTGGTACCCAACAGAACCCAATTTCTACCCCTTTTCTTTGTATTCGCCATAATAATGATAATATTTCACTCATCAAATCTTCTCTGGCCGTACAATGAGTAACTAGTGATGTTAATACAGAAGCAGAATCAGAGCATATCACTATTCTGTCTGGTCTTACCTCCTCTACCCATGTTAATCCTATTATAATAGCAACCATTTCCACCGTATATATTGACAGTTTAGATGTTAGTCGTTTCGATATTGATATTTTAAACTCTGGAATATACACTCCTATTCCCGTAATTCCTGTTCTTGGATCTTTAGATCCATCAGTGTAAATGTGCATACTTGCATAGAATCTTTCCTGTATGTACTTTTTAACTTTATATTCCAACATACCCATTTCCTCCCATTCCCGTTTCTTATCTAATATTCCTAAATCAATTCTAACCTCCGGTATAATCCATTTCGGAACCTCTCCCCATATAGGAGACATACTACATTCAATATTTGCAATCTTATATTTCTCTGTTAACTTATTTATCTTCCATCCATATCCTCCTCTCTCGGTATTACAGTATTCCCAACAATTATTTAAAATATCTTTAGCTATATTTTCTCCAGTGTAACTCTTTAAAGATGTCCAAAATACCAAAGACAATTTCTCTCTCCTTAATTTCAATGGCATTTCATTCGCTTCTACTAATAATGCATTAACCGGTGTTGTTTTAATTGCTCCTAAACATATTCTAAGAGCTCTATATTGAATTCTATCTATACTTTTTAATAATGTTTCTGAAGCTGACCCATAAATTATGCTACCATAATCAATTGTTGATCTGATCAAGGCTTGATATATTGTTAGCATTGAGTCTCTTTCTGCTCCCCATTCTTTCCCAGCTATTGCCCTCATCACATTTAAGATCCTCCTGCATTTTTTATCAATTTCCTCAATATGTTTTTTCCATGTATATCTCCCATCTAACCACATTCCCAAATATTTAAATGTTTTAACTTGTTCTAAAGGTTTCCCATATAAAACTAATTCAATTTCCTTAAAATCTTTTTTCCTGCTAAATATCATGAAACATGATTTACTAGTAGACATTTTAAAACTCCATTCTATACTCCAATCTTCCACCTTTTTAATAGCCATTTGAATCCCTGAAATCACTTGTTTTGTATTTCTTCCTCTCTTCCAAATAGCCCCATCATCAGCATACAATGCACATCCCACACCATATCCCAAATTATCAAAAATATCATTAATCATAATGTTAAAAAGAATTGGACTTATAACACTCCCTTGAGGAATGCCATTTTCTGCCGTATAATTTAATGATTGACAGGCTCCCACTTGAACTACAAATGTTCTTTCATACAAAAATTGACATAACCAATTATACATATTTCCATCTATTCCTATCCTTGATGCTTTAATTAACAACCCTTCTCTCCATACCGTATCATACGCTTTTTCTATATCAAAATATACTACTGCCATAATTTCTTTCATAGTTATCGTCTTCTCTACTTCATTACTGATCTTGATTAATGCATCCATTGTTGATCTCTTGCCTCTAAATCCACATTGGAACTTACTAAATGTACCCCTTTTCTCTAGATCATATGTTAATCTATGAACAATAATCTTTTCCATTAATTTACATAAATTTGAAGTCAGTGCAATTGGACGATAACTTCCTGGGTTTGTTGAATTTTTTCCTGGCTTAACAATAGGGATTACTACAGCTTTCTTCCATATTTTTGGAATAGTTCCTTCCGTCCATATTTTGTTATACAACTCAAGTATCTTTAATAACATACAATCTGACAAATGCTTTATCATTGTATAACTTACTTTATCAATCCCAGGAGTGGTATTTGCACATTTTTGTAACGCTACTTTCAGTTCAGTAAGTGAAAACTCTAAATCCATACAGCTCTTATTGCTCATTCTTTTCTTCATAATATCTGGGTTTTTATCTAAAATTTCCTTTTTCCTTATCTCATATTCTTCCCCCAATTCTATTCTATGTGCTCTTTCTAAAACCTTACCTAACATGTTTGCTTTATCTAGATCTACTACTGCAGTCTTTTCGTCTTCAATTAAAACAGGAATTGTAGCTGATTTCTTTCCTTTTCCATTCATACTCCTTAACATATTCCATATTTTATCCATAGGTGTATCTTTTCCTATGGTAGAACAAAATTCTCTCCATCCATTTCTCTTTGCATTCTTAATTATTCTTCTTGTTTTAGCTCTTGCTTTCTTATATTCCACCAGATTGCTCATACTCATATTTTCCCTGAGTTGTTTAAATGCCTTATTCCTTTCTTTAATTGCATGACTGCACTCTTCCTTCCACCATGGTATATTTTTGTTTTTCTGACCTGCCATTCTTTGTGGTATATACAATGTTGCAGCTTCCATTATTATACTTGTAATTGAATCGCAAAATGTTTCTACTGAATCTTCTACCATTAAATCTTTATTTTCTTCACAATGCTTACTGAAAGAATTCCAATCTGCCTTCTCATACAACCATTTCTTTTGTAGTACATATTCTGGATTATTATCTACATTCATTTTACAAATAATTGGGAAATGGTCACTTCCAACCGTGTTCTCCCCATTAATTTTCCATTCACATAATTCAGCCATACTATTTGTTATTAATGTTAAATCTATACTTGATACCGAATTCTCTGTTATATTATACCTAGTTCCTTCTCCTGTGTTTAAACAAACTAATGATCTTTCGTCCATTAGCTGTTCTATTACTTCCCCATTATAATCTGTATTTTTACTCCCCCATAACCAATTATGAGCATTAAAATCACCACACCATAATTCTTTTTTCTCTTTCTTAATCTTTTCAAACAATTTTATTGATATCTTCTTACATGGATTATAAAAATTATATATTACAATTGAATCTTCTCTAAAATATATTTCAACCACAACACATTCCATATCTATTACCTCACATAATTCCCTATATACAGTTCCTTCTTTTATAAAAGTTACCACCCCTCCCCCTTGTTTCCCAACTCTATCCTTTCGAATAGACTTATATCCTGGTAATGTAAATTGCAGGTTTGGCTTGAGCCAAGACTCTTGCACACAAATTATACTTGGCTTATGATCCAAATCCAATACAAATTTTTTAAATTCTTGACCATTTGCTACAAGGCTCCTTGCGTTCCATTGCATTACATGTATCACCATTTATCTACTCAGAAACTTGTGCAACTTCAACTGATGTTGCTCTGGTTAGAATTTCATGTATTGCACTTACTGAGATCCCAGAGATCCCTAGGAATTCTGAAGCAGCTTCTAGAATTGTTTTAATCTTTGCCGATCTGCTTGGCAACATAGCAGT